TTCCAAGGCCTCTTCGCCGCCAGACGCGGCTTCCAAGGCCTCTTCGCTGCCAGACGCGGCTTCCAAGGCCTCTTCGCCACCAGACGCGACCTCCTCGTCGCCTTCGCCGCCTGACGCGGCCTCCTCGTCGTCTTCCACGCCAGACGCGGCCTCCTCGTCGTGTTCGCCGCCAGACGCGGCCTCCTCGTCGTCTTCGCCGCCAGACGCGGCCTCTTCGTCGTCTACGCCGCCGGACGCGGCCTCCTCATCGTCTACGCCGCCGGACGCGGCCTCTACGTGGTCATCGCCGCCGGACGCGGCCTCCATGTGGTCATCGCCGCCGGACGCGGCCTCCAAGTGGTCATCGCCGCCGGACGCGGCCTCCAAGTGGTCATCGCCGCCGGACGCGGCCTCCAAGTTGTCTACGCCGCCTGCCGCGGCCTCCAAGTTGTCTACGCCGCCTGCCGCGGCCTCCAAGGTCCTATGTGTTGGACGGCCTCCCGGCCGCCCCCCTGAACGTCGGTCCCTTGATGGACGGCCTCCCGGCCGCCCCCCTGAACGTTGGTCCCGTGATGGACGGTCTCCCGGCCGCCCCCCTGAACAATGACTTTAGGGACGGTCTCTTGACCGTTTAGATCTCTTGTGTTTTGCCCTAGTTTTTGTCAGTTCCTTGTGTTCCTTGTGTTTCCTCTGGCCCTCCACCCTTGCAGTGCCGCCCTCCACCCGCCCTAGTCCTTCTGGAGGGGGGTTTCTTGGGGACGCCTTGAGGCGTCCTTGAGGGGGGGGGGTACTGTAAGGATGGTACCATTTACTGGCTCTGTTTGTGTCTGTGTTTCCCTTGTGTGTTCTCTTCAGTTTAATTGCTGTCACCCTTGTCTCGTCACAGCTGTTTGTAATCACGTCTCGTTTTGTCCTTGTATAAAAGCTGTCTGTTCTGTCTTGTTCCTCGTCGCGTCGTATTCGTTGGGTCTTCAGTGTTCTCCTGTGTCTCCTGAGTTTTCCTGAGCTTCCTGAGTCCCGTCTGAGTATCCCTCCTGAGTCGTCTAGTTTATGTAAGTGTTGCTGCCACGTCAGCTTATTGTTTTGTTACTTTTTTCATCATTAAAGTATTTGGTTTTGTAATCTGCCGAGTTGAGTCCTGTCTGCACTACTGGGTTTGTTCCTGTCCACCAAACCATGACACCCACCATGGGACCGCAAGTGCTGTTCTAAGTTTTTGGCCACACTTAGAAAAAACTGCCTGCTCTTTGTCACTGGCTTAGAAAAAAGTTGCTCTCAATCCTCCTGCTCAATTCATAAAAATGTCCTGGTCGCTCCGATATAACTTCATATACTCTGACTGCATGACAAATAGCTTGATGAGGCGAGATCATCATCTCTTTTCTGCAGTTCAGATAAATCCTGCAGTGCATCACACATCATGTCCAAATTGTTCACAAAAGCGCAGGAATTTATGCATAGTGCAAAATGATTAATTATATTTTCGTTTTTTTTAATTTTTTTATATAATTGCCCATGATGTTGAACTTTTTGGTGCAGAGATTTTTTAAGAGTAGATGCGGAAATGCTTACTTGAAGGAACAGCTCTGAATGTGATATTAGGAAGCTCGTAAGTGGCTCTTGTGTTTAAAATGAGTGTTTATGTAATTATTTTCAGATTAAATATCCAGTATAGGTTTTATTCATTCAAGACAGTCAATTTTTTTCATACCTTTATTATTAGTAAGCCTGAGAGTTACTGGATCCAAGCAAACAGTTACTGGAATGCACCCTGTCAAAATAAGAGTGTTCCCGGATCCTATTCTGGCAAGATCTGGCTCAAATTAAACCCTGGTAACAAAGTTAACATTAAATTCCCGGTAATAGTAATAATAACAAAAATAAGAGTGTACCATAGAGTAGACCATCACACCATCAGAGACCACAAATGGCTAAACTTACATTCTTTGGTGATTAGCCTTGATGTGAGTGAATGCTCCTCTGCAGCAGTTTCTAGGGATCTCTGCAAGTATATTACACCTCTTCAGGACATTATTTATTTTATATTGGGGCTTTCTTCAGCTTCCCATCCTGCAGGTGGCACCATTGGCAACCACCTACATGTCCTGCTCCAAAACATACTGTGGATAAAAAGCTAAATACAGGCGATTCAGTGCATTTTGAAAGCAATACTCCCTTGGTGTGATCTGTTCTGGGCGTTCAGAAGTTTCACAGTGTGGGTGAAGAACCTCATGCACTCATTGGGTCCAACAACAGGCCACTTGACCTATGTACACCCTCACATGTTGAGCTGTTTCATGTTACTGGTTTCATGCAAAATGACCCATGTTAAACACTACCAAGTGCTGGCAAAATGCTTATTCAACGCATCTCTCGTCTGTGTCTGCTTACTTACTCACTGTTTTGACTGCCTTTCCAATGCTCAGGCAACTGCCTGATAACACTTTGTTCTTAGTGCTTGTTCCAGATGTGTCACTTCACCTCCTTATAATTCTGATAATTTACATCCCAACCACTGGTCTGAGATTGGGCCAAATCATGTTCAAATCAGATCTTCAAGGTTTATTTTTCTTTGAAGTCGTCCACTGCTCTTTTGTAAAATTATTATTTTTGTTTTAAATCTTTAGGTGTGAGATGCAATCATGACTGAGGGTTTGAAAACACGGTTCGATTTCTCCAGCCCTGTCATACAAGCCCAGGTAAGGTACTGGATGTTTACAGATCGATCTTGTACAGTTGTGCTAATCTGATTATGTAGTCTGGCAGAATCTGTCAGGTCCTTTAGAATATGATTGATAATGTGAAAATACTTTTCTTGTGGATCATGGTTAGGTGAAGCCATTCGTATATTTTTCTGTTTAAATAGTGAGAACTTATGAAACAAGAAGTCCACATCAGTGTTTGATCTAATGGGACTGATGTGGATTTAACTCAGGCCTGTACAGGTCTGTTTGGTTTGGAGCCACAGGCAAGTGGAAAAATGCTAGAGCCCGACCAATATATCGGTAAGGCAGATAATTTAGGCCAATTTAGACGTTTGGGGACATATCGGTATCTGTGATAATTGTCCCATTATGCGCCGATAGAAACACTTCTAATTTTCACCCCTAAAATGCTGTAAACAGCTGTAATTGTGCAATGTATCCACCAGAGGGTGCATGAAGAATACTTTCAAATCATGGCCGTTCACTTAAGTTTCACTTTCACATTCAGCACAGATGAAGCAGGGAGCAATATAGTGTAGCATAATTTACTGAACAGCGCATGGTAGGTTTGATCTGTAAAATAAAAAAAAATTAAACAATAATAAATTCTCTTCAATCCTTCAACCCGCTTGTCATTAGCTACGTGCCTCTCCAGTTAGCAAGGTAATGTTAGTGTGGGTATTCTGTCCTCACAACATGTGACTATGTGAAGCTAGGCAGCAAACAAAATAAAAGAAGTCCTCAGACAAGGCTACTGAAGACCTTTAATTTATGAATTTGTAAAAAGACAAAAGTCTCCCAAGGCACAAGCAAGTAGGGCACATTTAGCGTGTATGAACTGTTTTCTCCCTTATTTTATGAAGTACTTGTTTTACCGGAGAAAAGACATCAAAGATTGTTCTGTGGTGAGAGCACTTACTACCTCATGTGCTGCACGTACAATATGAGAAAGATGGATGTCTCACTCTGACTGGAATTCAAACCCAAAACATTTTAACAGTTTTTAGCATGAGTGTTCTTAAATTAATTATTAACTGTGAATTTATTTATCACCTCATTTATGTAACTTACTCACGTGATGACCTTATTAATGTCTTTGAACGAAAGGCAGCACAGTGGGACTAATTAAAGGCAGATCTGATTAGCTTAGCTTCATGATTGCTAACAGCTCCCATTGAGATCACAGATCTCAATGGGATTTGCCTGGTTAAATAAAGGTTAATAAATAATAAATAAACTTGCCATGTTCCACTCGCGGTTGACTTAGATTTTTGGGGTGGACAAAGTGCAAATTTTTTCAGCCGTTATATCAATTATCAGCGGTCGCATACCCCTCCCAATACCGGTATCGCCGATAGCCAAAATTTCCATATCGGTCGGGCTCTGGAAAATACTTTCTTTTATTGTGGATCATGGTTAGGTGAACCCATTCTGATATATTTCTATTTAAATAGTGAGAACTTATAAAACAAGCAGTCCACATAAGTGTTTGATCTAATGGGACTGATGTGGATTTAACTCGGGCCTGTAAAGGTCTGTTTGGTTTGGAGCCACAGGCAAGTGGAACAATAATATTAAGAATTTGAAAGAAAGGAGAATTAAACTAATAGGATAAACAGAGATCCAAATGGGTGAGAATTA